CTTTTTACATGGTGTTGAATTTGCTCAACCAAACTGGTTCCACTAAATTGAGCAATTTACACGTTTTGTTTTAAAGTAAATGTATAAATTGCTTCATATTGACTCAACTCGGTTCAGTGGAACCAGTAGACATAACTTTGTTTAGTAAATTCAACATTTAATTTTTAGAGTGCATAAAAACTTTAAATTTGTAACTACATGTTAAATTTTAAAATAAAGAAGTAAAAGTATCATTTTTAGGTTTTCAATGTAACAAAATAACAGTAAAAGATGCGATAAAAATAAAATTACTTAAGAAAGAAAGTAAGAAAGTCAATGTTTACACCTGTGGTTATAAATGCTTCCCAGTATTTTTACTGGATCAATCAGTGGTTCTGATTGACTCCAGCATGTGGGGACAGTTTTATGACGGTTCAACACTTTGATGGTGTGAAAGCTCTTCATGTGGGACTAATAGTTTTATTGTGGGACCGAAGCCCTGCTGCCAGGCGGGTCCAGGATGGTTTACGGCTGAAGATGTTAATTATTAACAAGCTTTTATATCGTCACCAATGAACAAAACTGTCTCCTGTGTTTTTATCAGATGTAGCTGCTGAGCATTTCACATGTTTCTGTTCAAATGTGAAGTTCTTCTGATTGTGTTTTTAGCAATTTAAAAATAAGGTCACATTCCAAGAACTGTGGGCTCACTTTCAACCTGCTGCTCACGAACACCTGTTCTCAGTTGAAACCTGTGAATTTATATTTAAACCGCAGCTTTTAATGGTTTCAGTAAATGTTTTAAAGATTCATGACTTCAAAGCAAAACACATCAAAGTTTTTTTTTTCTTTTTCAGGAGCAGCAGATAAGAAAAAAAGAAAGAAAAAAACAAGAGGAGAACCAGATTTAATTAGGGTTAGGATCCGGCGTCGACCCTTAATGAAGAGGAGGCAGAAAGAGACAAAAACAACAACAAACAGATGACTAACAAAGACTGGGCCAGTCTTCATTCTTCATCTGTTTGTTGTTGTTCCAGACCGGGCCGGCTGGTTGGACCGGTCCCGGTTTAACGGGAACACAAAGGCTGAGAAAGAGACAAATAAAGTCAAACTGTGGGAGACAATCACACAAAGCTGCACACATACAAGTGAAAAACAACAATTCGAGACAAGAGAAATTCAGGCAGAGCTTTAAACATGGCTCCTGATTTAAAAACAGGTGGAAAAAGTGTTTCAGGAGAGAATCTCTAACCTTTAAACTTTCTATGAARTTGATTTATTTGTTTAACTGAAAGAGATGTTTTATTTTGCTTTTGAATTTCTGAGTTAGAATCAAAAAGTATTTTTCCTCTTTCTTTGTGCTCCTTTCTCTTTAACCTGTTAACCTAAAACACCATAAAATGCCTTAAAAAGTACACACAAATTAAATGAAGTACAGCTCTTAAACCCTTAAAGTAAATTCACAAGCTTGGTCTAATAATAATCTGAATTTCATATTTTTTGTAACTGTAACTATTTAGTTTATTTAAGTAAAAATGCACAAAAATCAAGATATTTTTTCCCTAAATTTATATCAACGTAWAACAGAATATGGTTAGTCCAGTGCTTTTTAACAGGTTAAATTAAAAAAAAAAGTTTTTCAGAGTTATTTACATTTATGTTAAAATAGAAACAGCATTTTTATTTTAGTATTTGATTCAGACGCAGGTCAAACATCATCAGAGGAAACTAGAAGAGCAGAAAGAAATCCATACATTATGTCAACAGGATTAATGTGTCACCATTAAAGCTAAAAGCTTGGCACCACAGCAGGATGTTCTGTTCTTTCAAACAAGGACTAATGTTTTTACAAAGTACAACAAAATTTTATTTTAATAGTTTCAAATGATCAAACGAATCAGAACCAAGCAAAATAAAAMAACTGAAAAATGTGCAATAAAAAGAATAATAAACATGTTAAAAGAGCACAAAATCCAAATCAAAGCTTAACACAGTAAATAAATCTGTAAAAATTGTCTTAAGTTAATATCATAAACCTAAAATATAACAACACAAGGTTAAAAACACCAGAAAATACAAACATCCAGTGAGCCATGAAACACTAAATATCATTAACAACAGAAAAAAACATCAAAACATCACGAAAATATCAGATAAACCAGGAAAACAATATAATAAAATTGTAACATAAAACATCAAAAACAAGCAGTTGATTTTGTTGAGACAGTTGTTTTGATTTGGATCTTTGTCAAATAGAAAATTTTAATTAATTAATGAAATGATGGCATTCAAATCAAAAACTATTACAGAAACATAATAATAAAACACTTGATGAACACAAAAAAATTAAAACATTTTAAGCAAAACTTTATTAATTTCTGTAAAAACAATAAACTTCTCTGAACAGTAAAAACGCAGTTGTCCACAAGAATTAAAAAAAACTTTTTTTATCAGTTTTAGCTGTATTTTGTCCTTTTTTGCAGCTCTTTCAGCCTCTATTGAAAAGCAGCTCCATGGTTACATTGAATATTCTGAATTGATTATAAAAATGCTGACAGATTGTTGGATTTCTTGCGTAAACACATCGAGTTGTTTTATTGTTCCTGCAGTGTGAAGCACATCTTTTCTTACGGGAAAAAGCAGAATTATTGAAGGGTTTTTTTTTTCTGTTACTTCCTTTACGCACTTCCTTCCATCTGATGTTCTGTTATCAGTCTTTGGTTTGAAGCCTCTCGGTCGTCGGTATAAAAAGAGTTCGGCTCAGAGGTCACCTCACTCTGAGCACATCCTCCTCTCAGGTGCAGTGAGTCGGATCACTTTGGTCCAGGTGAGTTCTGATCCCACACTAACTGAGCTTTTCTCTCTTTCCTCTGCTCAGACATGTCAGGGAAACTTGTCCTGGTGCTGGGCCTGCTGCTGCTGCARCTTGTGTCTGATGCAGCCTCCTCGCCTGCAGCCGGAGAGGCGACGGCAACAAACCTCCTGCAGAAACTTCTGGCCCAGGAGGACAAGATGAAGCCAGAGGTGCGAGCAGAGAGACGAGCACATCTGTCTGAGGACGAGCGGGAGATGATGGCCAAACAGATCATGAGAACCATTACAGGTAAACATGCTTCATTTATTGTTTTTTTATTATTTTAAACCATCCATGACTTCAATTCAATTCAGTTTATTCATTTTATTTATTTAAAACAAAACAGACAATTTTATATACAATATGCAAGAAAAAGAAAAATATAAAAAGAAAAATGAAAAGAAAAATACATATATATGTATAGCAAAATCCCAAATAAAATGAAATGAAAGGAAGCAGGGACAAGAAAAAATCTTACAATATCTGCCCCGTTTGTCTCAAGAATAAGTTCACATAACAAAAAAAATCTATGTTATTAACAAAACAAAAGACAAGAACATCTAATCCCTCAACATTCTGTATAGATACACATTATACTGTTTCGTATTTCTTTAACAATCTAACTTTTATAATTTTCTTTAATGTACACAATGATCCTGCATGTTTTAACACCACTCCCCAAATTTTTCCATAGTTTTATTCCTTGAATTAAAGTACACCGT